CATCACCATAAGCACTACCATCTCTGCCATCTCTACCCCCACCACAACAATAACAAAAACAACAACAACAACCATCACCACTTCCAAAACATCCACCACCACCATGACCACCACCACCACCACCACCACCACAACAACAACAACAACAACAACAACAACAACAACAACAACAACAACAACAACAACAACAACAACAACAACAACAACAACAACAACAACAACAACAACAACAACAACAACAACAACAACAAAACAACACAACAAAACTATAAAGAGCAACTACCTCAGGCCAAAGGGCTAGAACTCACAATGGCCGCTGGATCGGAAATGTAAAGAAAAGTAAAGTAACAGCAACTACCTTCCTGATCTCTCACCTTATAGTCCAGAATTTGTTTTACTTCATCATGGCGGACATCAAAGAGGTAAGACAGATCAAGCCCGTGGGTGGTTCCTTTGTACGGGCCGACCATGAACTCTGGGTACTCATCAAAACGAAGCAGGTACACCTGGACACACACACACACACATGGAGTACACGAAGATCTATGACATCATCATAGCATTATACACACAATGGAGAACACGATGATCTATGACATCATCATCTATTATCTATTTGTGGTGGCCAAATTTTGCTATTCAAAAGGCTTTTTAATGGGTTCATCGATCGACATGTGATTTTCGCAAAAAGATTCTTTAGAATCTCTAGATCATGACGCCCTTCCTTTTTTCAGTTTTGAGACAGTGTTGCTGCAAAAAGCTACATTTCTTTATTTCGCCGATCGCTTTAGTAAGCCGACGCTTCTGTCTTGTAATTTTAGAAAATCCGCCAGGTTTGTTTATTTCAAGTCGTACTTTCGTTCGATACTATTGCGCATTGTCGCGCAGTACTGGGCACTATTTTAAGTGTGTCGCCCGTATAGATCTAGCCTCATGTTTTCTTTTTCTACCAATTACTTTCATTTGATGTTAATGCACCGATCATTCTTTTCATCGAAAAGGGGCCCAGCTAGTAGCATTATATACACAATGGAGTACACGAAGATCTATAACATCATCATAGCACTTTATACACCATAAAGAACGTGAAGATCTATGACATCATCATAGCATTATATAAACACAGGGAGAACACAAAGATCTTTAGTTTGGTTTTAGTACGGTTTTACGGCGCTCGCAACTGTATAATAAGGTCATATGAGCGCCAAGGGGTGGATGCCAACAGAGAAGTCCAAACGCGGAATCAAGCTTACTCTAATTACCTCTCTAGCCTCAACAGCAAAAAAATCTGCTTTGACTATCAAGGCACCCCGGAATTAGAAGTCCACAGAAGAGTGACAAACATACAAAAGAAGTAGAAGAATAATGACGATAGTAAGGATGAGGAAAGAAAAAGCAGCAGTTCCCCCTGTGTTGTTCCGGGACAGTACGAGCATGAGATTGATAAATCATCCCATTTATAATTCTACTGTCCTGGACACACACACAGGGAGAACACAGATATCTATGACATCATCATAGCATTATTGTGAGGCATCGTGGAGAAATCAGGCGCTCGCCAAAATAATCAAAATGAAAGAACTGGCCTTTTTATACAGGTTTGTGAATTTTTATCGAATTTTTTGTTTTTGGCTCATAATCTCTCATGCCCATTAAAGAACACATTTCTATGTGGATTCTACGAAAAAAAAGGTGTTTAGATGCACAAAAAAGTACATTTTTTTGTTTCATGGACTTCCAAGCACCTCACTAATTTTACCTATGAAACCAGGTGACCCCCACCTCCTTCATTTACAAATATCTCAACTGGCATTTAAGTCAAATGGATATTTTTTTTCATCCAAAGCAAGACAGATGAACAAGCTTAAAGATGATACCAATAACTCTATATGCCCAAACATTGACAATAGCTTGATTCCACTACGTAACAGTATTTCACATTTATACTGATGACTCATTTGCATTCCATCATGGCAGGTTTGTGGTAACGCAGAGTAGCTTTCTACACACACACACACACACACAC